CCCCACTGGTGGTCCTCTGCATGGCCTGCTATTGGGCCGTTGCCTCCAGTGCTGACGACTCTCTTGGCAAGCTGCAGGAGCTGGTGCAGGTGGCAGTTGTTGCCTTTCCGTGGGCTGTCTATGGACTAGTGTCCGTGGGGCTGCTGCTCCTGCTGTGCAATCCCATGACGGTGTTTGCAGAGGACACACGGGAGTCGGCAGGATCCATCGTCACGCCCTACTTGGGGGTTCCCAGCTCTGAAGTCGACTTCCTCCACGTCATCCCTCAGATCTACAGGAGGATGCAGGAGTCTCAGAAAAGCCGCCTGGAGCGGGGCAGCTGCAGGGCCACCATTGCAGCGTATGGGCTGGGCAGCGTGTACTCGGCAGCCCTGGTCATAGCACTCACCCTGCTGGGCTTCCTCTTGATGCTTCTGCATAGTGAGCGGCTGAGTCTTGCCTTTCTGCTCCTCTTCCTGGAGGCCTTCGTGCTACTGCACATCCACACACGTGCCAGAGGCCTTGCTGGAGACGCTGGTGAGTCAGGACTGAGTAGAGCATCCTCTGGATGTGTGACCTGGGCCACATTTGCAGTGACTTTGTTTTCCAGTGGGAGAAGCAGAGTCCAGTCTCTGCTGTTGGGGAATGATGGTGCGCTGATCCTCAGGGTATCCTCCTAGGTTTTTAGAGCTGCTTAAATCCGCTAATAGAAGAGAGATGCCTGCAGCAGGGATGCAACATGGGAGGAGGAGGAGCCCCTAGTGTCAGGGAAGGGAGCTCTGCACCCATCCCTTCTCAGCATGTGAGCAGCCACTGAACCCCACCACTGCTGACAGAGTCTAGTAGCAGGGCAGGCAGCAGAGGGAATAACTGGCCCCTTGCCATGCCCTGGTGGGAGCCTGCCTGGTTTCTGTCTGTCAGGGAGCATGGAAAGGGAACCTGAAAGAAAACCCAGCAGGCTTTTTTTTTTTCTTTTTTTGTCCGTGGATCTGTCTTGTTCCTCAATGCTGATCTCTCTCTCTCTCTCTCCCCCTCTCTCTCCCTGCCCCCTTTTAAAATCTCTCAGAGCCTTTTTCGGTGTCCTGGTACGCAGTCATCTCCTGGCTCCTTGCTGCTTCCCAGTTCTTCTATTCCACAGGCCACCAGCCCATCCTCCCAGCCATCCACTGGAACGCAGCCTTTGTGGGCTTCCACCTTGACCACAGCACGAATCTCCTTCCTGCTCTCCTGGTGGGCGCCAACACCTTTGCCTCCCATATCCTCTTTGCAGGTAAATCAATTTCTTCCTGGGCTGTTGAGCCTGAGCAGACATGGCTGACTGCTTTGCCTTGTCTGGAGGCCTGCAGGCTGAGCACGAGGCGATGAAGGCTCCAGCACCAGCTGAACAGCAGCATCCTCACTGTCCCCTTCTGGGGCCACAGAGCTGCCCGTGGCCAGCAGCCTCCATGCAGTTGTGCCTGACCAGCAGACTGGAGCTGGGGTATATGCATTCTGCACATCCAGGGCATGATGGCAGAGCCTAGACTGCTCTTCACCTCCTGGGCTCCAGTAACTTCATGTGCCTTTGTCCTTGAGGTAGTTGGCGTCCCTCTGCTCCTGCTTTGGCCCTTTGTGTGTGAGATGCCCAGCTCGCAGAAGAGGAAGCCCAGGAAGGAGCCCCGGGAGGAGCTGCAGGAGATGGAGGAGCACATGATGGAGATGAGGCTGCGGGAATCCCCGGAGAAGTTCTCCACTGCTCTGCTGCAGCTGGGGCTGAAGTATCTCTTTGTCCTTGGGACACAGGTACAGACGGAGGCAGGATGGCTGTGGTGAGCACTGTCCAAGAGGAAACTGGTGTGCTGTGAGAACCGTGGGGCACCCTGGTGAGAGGAGGGAGTCAGCCAGGGCACAGACAGGCCCAGGGGTGATATGTCTGGTTGCAGGTGGAACTGCAGCTGCACAGATCTTCTGAACCATGCCATTTGTGCTGTGATTAGGGAAGGGCTCCAGCACAGAAGCTGCAGTATGGATTAGGCTGCTTTTCATACCCATCTGCCCAGAACAGCAACATCTGCTCAGAAACTACAGGGTTGTAATCCTGCTCCTGCTCTTCCTGACCATGCTGTTTTGCACCAGCTCTGGTTTTCATCTGATCCTGTGCAGTGGTGAAGTAGGGAGTTAAACATGAGAAATCTAATCTGGTGAAGGAAGTGAGGAGCTTTCAGGGGTTTAGCCCTTCAAACCATTCTCCTGTGTGGTCAGACCAGAGACAGTGCAAGGGAGGGGGCAGGCCCTGCAGCAGGAGGGCAGGAGTGCCCCTCTTGGTGAAATACTAGATCAGGCTAGCCACAGTTTGAGCCCTCCTCTGTGCTATCCCAGCCTGCTCTCAGGAGGGCCTGCGTGTACCCCAAGCTTTTTGTGTTTCCTGACTTGAGGGCATGATGGAAAGGAATCCTCTTTGGGATGCTTATTTCTGGTGTGCTGTACCAGCCTCTCAGGTGTGTGCAGTTTAGTACCTCCTTCAGATGTAAACCTGGTGCCCAGGAGGTCATTCCAGAGTCGCTTGTAACTTGTTTTTCCTCTCTTGTTTTTAACTCTTCCCTCACAGCATCTGGCCTGTGTTTGTGCAGCTATGATCCTCAGGAGGCACCTCATGGTCTGGAAGGTCTTTGCCCCAAAGTAAGTCCCAGGAATTGTTCTGATGCTGGCTTAGGACTTATATCCCTGATACCTTGTCTAGAGTTTGTAGGCAGTAATGGTGGAAAAGACCGTGTGATTGATCTTGTATGACTTCTTACCTGGTAGAGGCTGTAGGAATGTCCTTAACTAACTTCTGCTTCAAGTTCAGAAGCTGAAATTGAGCTAGAGCATAGAAATTTTTCCTTATCTTGATTTCCAAGAGCCCACCTGGAAGCCAAGAATATTCAGGGCAGAGAGCTAAAGGTAGAGGTACCAGACCAGAAATGGTAAACTAGCAAACCCTTGGGCTAGTAGGAGTGTGGAGTGGCCTTGGCCTCTGAGGGATTAAAAATCTTACCTGGGTGTTGTCCTGAACGGCCTCTAAACCAGAGGCGTGCTTGGCTTCCAGGTTGCAGGCAGCAACTGCTGGGGAATGAATGTTGTTCAGGTTTTAGGATCTGGGGTGCTGCCAGACTCTCACTGTCAGGAAAATCAATCTGCTGGGAGTAGGGGCAGCAGCTTGTCTTTTGCAGGCATGCTGGCTGTGATATTCTTACTGCGTCCGTTGTGCCTGCAGGTTCCTCTTTGAGTCGCTGGGCTTCGTGGTGAGCAGCATCTGCCTCCTGCTGGGGATCTCCCTGGTGATGCGTGTGGACTGTGCTGTCAGCACCTGGTTCAGCCAGCTTCAGCTCAGGTAGCGTCGGAGATGTGGGGAACCTGACCTGCTTGTCGGCCGAGGCTGTGATTGTCTCCCTGGCCCCCTGGGTGCCAGGAAGGTTACACCAGCAATGAGTGCCTGCGAACAGCAGTCAGGGATTATCCCCAGCCCCCTGCCTCAGCACTGCACAAAAGGACCGGAGCCAACTGTTCCCTGCTTGTTGTGGTGGTGTTTCTCAGCGGTGGAGGTCAGAACTCTTGCTGGGCGCCTGTTGGCAGCAGGAGGAGTCTGCTGCAGGAGCCCAAGAAGCAAGAGTCCTGAAGTACTCCTCTGGAGAAACGCCAACCGGGGGTCTTGCTGCTACTTGCCTGACAACTGTCCCCACTGTGCAGCTGGGTAGCTTCAGTGGCTGGCAAAGTTTTCATCTTGCCTGTGCAGAGACGGTGACTTGGGGGAAGGGGCCTGCCAAGGAGGGGAAGGCAGGGAGATAGGAGAGGGAAGGTCCTGCAGCCATCACTTCTCTTCGTGTGCTCAGTTTTCACACTGGAATCAAAGTACACATGGTTACGCATCCAGATGGTTCCTGGGCTCTCAGTGGCAGCTGCTCCTCCATAAAGTCAGTTGGCTGCTCTGTAGTGAGGCCCCTCTTGCCCTACCCTCCCGTTTTCCTGGTCTTCCTCAGCCCTGCTAAGGGTAGCATGGAGCTACAACTCTGGGTTGTCTTGTACAGCCTGAAACAGGCTTAGCTTGTGGTGGGGGTGGGCGCAGAGAGAACTGTGTCCATGACGAAGAAACTCTCCACTCAGGGTGTCGGCCTGTCAGTGTCCCATTGGGCTGGGCTGTAGCAGCTGAGGCTCCCAGTCTCTTCCTAAGCATGTGCTGCCAGCTGTTGACTGTGAACGGTTGAGATGCAGCAGGCTGAGATGCAGCAGGATGTAGTGACAGAGCATTGGCTAGTCCCCATATTGGATCTGGTCAGGAGGAAAGGGGAGTCTGGAATAACTGTCCGAACTGCAGGAGTGGCCTTAGTGTAGCTCTGGTGCCTGGGAAGAGCTGCTTGAAAGCCCTGAGCAGGCGACAGCTCTTCTGGGAGGCGGCTTAACTCACTGGTGTCTGTGTATGAGCTGGGGTTATGTCACCTTGAAGGGTGCCCAGGCACTGCAGCTGATGGCATCTGTGATCCCACATTTGGTGCTTCTCTCCTTCTTGACCTTGGTGTTCTGTGTGGGACTTCATGCTGCAAGTGAGCTATCCCAAACCCGCCCTTGACTGCTTGCAGTCAGGAGACATCATATTTCTTTCTTTATGGGCAGAGGTAGAGGACAGTGACCATGGTGCCTGGCCACATCCCAGCTACATTCCCCTTACATTTTTGATGGGAGCTGGGATTCCTTACTGCCCTGAATCACTGTGTGCCATTACTTGGTGCTATGAAACCTTTTGTCTCTTTTCCCTCTGGAGGGAGCTGAGGACTTCTTGCCTTGGATTCCTGCTTTGATCTTTGTTCTGGTCCCATTTGTTTTTTAACTCATGCACCATGACTGCCCTTGTTTGAGTTCCTTACTGCAAACTGCTAGTGTAATTCCAGACTCTTCCTCTCCTCTGCCCTGGAGAGTCCCGGGGAAAGTGTCTCATCACCTCTCTCATCACTTCAATTCTTGCCATTATGCCCAAGTGCCCAGAAATGTAGAAAATGGATCTTAAGGGCAGGTTTAGTTTTGTATTTTACCCCTTCAAAATGCTTGCTGAGGTGTTAAGAGTGCAATTCCAGAGAAGCTTAAACTGCTCTAATTTGGGGTTCCCATTGCCTGGCCTCCTGACCTGCTCTCCCACCTCAGTCTTGTGTGTCCCCTGCGGGCCTGTCCTGCTTAATTTCACGCGACACAACCAATCCCTGGTTTGCAGCTGGCATGACTCCCTGGGCTGCCTCTCTGCCTGGTTGCATACACACCAGTGCTGGTGCAAGGCAAGGGGTAGCAGCACTCAGCAGAGGAATACGTTGGGGACAAGAATGCATCAGCCCACAGTTAGATGGCCTAAAGCAGTCCCACCCTTAAAAATAGGTTATCTGGTGTATACTGTGAGTCCTTGGTGGTCAGATGGCTCTCAGTGCTGAGGGGTCTATGCTGATGAGTGAGGGCTGCATTGTTGTAGGGAGGAGGAAAAGGATGGAGGTAGCAGCCACACAGTGAATTTTCATTTAACGCGAGGTTAGTCTAGATAACACAGTTGCTAAACCACAAGGCTGGAGCTCAAATAGGTCCTGTAACCTTGTAACCTGGTTGGGAACTTGCTGCCTGAATGTATTTGTGCTGGCAGAAATCCTTATGGTCGCTAATTGCTGTAGAACCAGCCCCTGATGGCCCCACAGCTGCCACCCAGGCCCTTGGGCTTCCTTCTGTCACGTCTCTGGGACTAGTTCCTCTTTCAGTGGCTGCCATCATGCTGCTGAGCCTTCCCGTGGCTGTTGTTCATAGTCAGAGCTCAGCTGGTGCTTGGGCATCCTCTCTTCATCCCTCTATATCATTCCTCTGCCTTCTTGCTGGGGCTGTAGGCTCATGGCCCTGGGAGGCTGGGGCAGAGCAGTGGGGACAGCAGAGCTGCAGCACCATGAAAACACGCACACATCTCTTGCTGGAGACTAAACAAAACTTGCAGTAACAAAGCTGCAGATACATTCTTGTCACTGCAGAGATGCCAAGGAGTGCTAGCTGCTCAGCCAAGGCAGACTGGCTACTACACCAAAGAATTCAGATTCCAGACAATGAGTTTTCCAAAGGCTGGAGATGCTCTTGCTTTCTTTCCTTGATTTTTTTTTACTCTTTGCCAACCTTTGCCAGCTGTCCTCAAACTAATTATTTGGCTGACATTCTCCTGAGTGTGCCAGGAATGACAGACTTAACGTTGGTCCAAGGCTTGGTGACCTTGGAAGCATGCTGCTGATGCTAGAGAAGACATGGGTGGGTTTGCTGGTTTAAAACCCCAAGGACTGTCCAGAGGATTGGTTGGATGGTTACAGCCAGAGAGTGGTGGTCAACAGCTCAATGTCGAGATGGAGATTGGTGATGATCAGGGGGAAGTCCCTTCCTCAGGGGTCTGTACTAGGACCAGTGCTCTTTAATATCTTCAACAATGACATAGTGGGATCAAGTGCACCCTCAGCAGGTTTGCAGATGACACCAAGCTGATTGGTGTGGTTGACACGCATGAGGGACAGGGTGCCATCCAGAGGGACCTGGACAAACTCAAGGAATGGGCCCAAGTGGACTTCCTGAGGTTCAACAAGACCAAGTGCACAGTCCTGCAGCTGGGTCGGAGCAACCCCCGGGATCAGTCCAGGCTGGGGGATAAAGGGATGGAGAGCAGC